CCAAACAGGCAGGCAGGGATGGCAGCTTGGGATGTTGAATGGGGAGCTATAAATCAGCAAGCTGCTAATTAAGACCACAGGAGGTTGGTGAGTTACTAAAGACCTGTATTACTCTTTTCAGAGCTCTGGGCCATTAACAAGATCCTTGGGACCTACTCGGAGCACGTGGCTCTCCAGGGACATCAGTTGTGAGCACTCTATTTTGGGCATGTTCTCAGAGTTGAAGTTCCCTGTGCCCTGGGGTCATGTGGCAGCCAAGGCCTGGGGACCCTCTGAAGGATACCCTGTGCTGTGCTTGCACGGCTGGCTGGACAACGCCAACACCTTTGACAAGCTCATTCCACTGCTCCCCAAAGGTAGGTCTGGCTCAGCAGGATGGTTCTCGTTGTGTTGCAGTGCTGCACATCTGATACTCTCTCTCCCTGTCAGGTTGCTATTACGTGGCAATGGATTTTTCTGGCCATGGCTTGTCATCCCACCGGCCTGCAGGCTCCCCCTACCATTTTCTGGATTACGTGAGCGATGTGCGCCGGGTGACAGCAGGTGGGTAGTTGAAGGGACCCTTGAGGGGATGTTTGTGCAGGGGGTGCTATATTGCTCCTGCTCCTTAGAACAAGCAGACAGCACTTACTGCCAGGAGAGGGGTCAATTCCCTCTGCTTCTCCTCAGCCTGATGTTAGCCCGTGCTTTGTGAGCACAGACTGAATGAGCACCCCTCTTTCTCACTATTTTGTGAGAGGAAGAAACAGGAAGCCCTGGGAAGCAAGTGTTTCTATACTAAAAAGCAGTAGTGGCAGAGTGGTGGATGACTTTTTGTAAGCAGCCAGTGACCTCTAACCTGTGTTAGGTGTAAGCTGGAGACTCTGCTTGCTTTAGTATACAGAGAGAGCTTAAGAGTGACGTGACTTAACTACCAAGGAAATGAGGTGGTGGATGGTCTTTTTCTTTAAAAACTGGCCTACTTAGCCACCTCATTTCTGGATTAGGAAGCAAATTAAGCAGTGCAAAAGCCCTCCTGGGAGAAGGGGCCTGTGTTGGTGGAAAAGCAGCAAGATGCTGCTGCTCTGGTTTCTAATGCAGCACTGTCTGTTTTTGTCTGTTGCCACTTAGCCTTGCAGTGGAGACGGTTCACCCTGATGGGTCACAGTATGGGTAAGTAGCTCTTGTCCTTGTAAGCTGTAAGATTCATAGAAATAGGAATAGAAATTAACTTACAAGACATGCTGCTAGGATCTGGGTTGGAATATTTATTATATTCTGTCAAGTACCAGGTTACTGCTTGAGTGATTAAAAAATCTGTGCCCTTGTTTGAAATGCCTCTGCTTTCAAGACCCTGTAGTACAAACAGTGGTAACTCTTGCTGTGGGCCTTTTCCCCACCCCCCCAGGAGGGAACAGTCAAGGGCAAAGCTACGGCAGAATTCACAGCAGGCCTTCGTGCCTGATCCCTGCAAGGCCACAAAGCCTGGGACCAACAGGGCCCTTCGTGGTGGGTCATGGAGCTTGCTGAGGAGAACCAGACTCCAGGCTCTATCCCTTGGTGCTTGGGACGTGATTGGGTTTTGCCACGATTTGGGTTTCACTCCCCAGGGCTGCTGTAGCCACAGCTCACAGGACCTGCACACCATACCCTTGTGACTAGTAACTCCTCCTTGGCCTTTGCTGCCTGAGAGGGAGATGGGGATGGTGCAGGATGGGGAGTCCAGCTGGGCCAGAGCCCTGCTCTCTGCCTGCATCCTGCCTGCTGGGAGAGCTCTATACTCTGCAGCTGGGGCTTTGTTCCTTGGTACAACGTGCATTTCTGCTTCTAAAGCAGCTCCTGCTGTGGGGAAGGGGAGTTTCTGTCACCAGGGTGTGTCCTGCGCATAACTGAGCACTCTTCTCTCCTTTGCAGGTGGGTCTGTGGCAGGAATGGTGAGTAAAGCATCCGTTCTTCATGGGGTTTGTGATTTCTGCACCTGGAACAAGTGGAGAGGAATGGACAAATTGTGTGGGACTTGGATCTCAGGGGAGGAGAGGCCCTTCCCTGACCCTCTCTCCAGTGTAGCAGGACGAAGATACCACTCAATGCTCAGCTTCTCTCTTTCTCTTACATTGTTTCATCTCTCCTCAGTTCTGTTTCCTTTATCCTGAGCTGGTGGACAAGCTGATCCTGCTGGAAAGTCTTGGCTTTCTGCTAGCTCCAGAGGTTAGATTTCACGTGTTCTTCCCCTCCCTTTTTTAAATTAAAAAAAAAAAACCAACCACAACCTATTTTTTTTTTTTTTCTTTCATTTGTTTAGAGAAAGCACTGATGTGACCAGTTCTTGGCAGGTCACACAAGTCTCAGGGCTTTTCCTTTTGGCAGGCACAGATCTGCTTCTTGTTGCATGGACTGAGGTCCCTGCTTAGGGTGGCCCTTGGGGAACGGTTGGTAGTGCTCCACATCCTGCAGTCCCTTAGCACCAAAATTCACTTGTCTGTGCTATGCCCTTGTACAAAGGAAACCGGAACCTCTGGCCAAGCAACTGCCAGCTGAGGCTGTCTTTGCCAACAGCTTGTTGGGTGACCTGGGTGCAAGATTGGCCGATTTCTTTTTCTGTGTGTGGCAGGACATAAAACTACATTCCCAACCTGCCATCGCTGCTACCCGATGCTGGGGCTTTGGCTGGCCGAAGTGAGACAGAAGCCCAGGGTCAGAGAGACAAAAGATACCAGATTTTGCTTGTTCTTTTGGACAGTTTCCCTCAACTCAGAAGTGAGGTAGGAAGGGGCAGAAAAGGTTGCAAGGGTAAAAAGTTAGTAAGTTCTTTACAGTAGTGCTTAGCTTTCTGCTCCTACCTTGCCTTTTAAGTATTGCTGTTCCCTTTTCCACAGAAATGGGCATTTTTAATATGATGTCCATAACTGGTACTGGTTTTGAGGGATGCTGAAGGGTGAAATGCCCTCTTTTATCCTCTGATACGGGGTAAACCAATTCAGAAGAGAGGGGTTACTCCTATTCCCTACCTGTCTTTGTTTCAGGACACTGAGGTGTGGCTGAAATCAGAACGGATGGCGATTGACACCTTACTGAGCCTAGAGGCAAAGCAGCAAACTCCCAAAGCACGGAGCCGTGAAGCAGCATTGCAGAGGTGCGTTCCCATCTGTCCTCTTCATTTGCTGCCTGCCCTCGCTTTGCACAGTTACAGCTGCATGAACGAGAAAGCGAAACTGTCCCTGTACTTGGCCTTCCAAGTCCTCTGGAATCTCGGCAAGACCTTTTGCTTCTGCTGCCAGAAACTGCTGCTTCTTCTTGCTCTTTTCTGAAGCAGCCTGAGAGCTCGCTGTCACCTTGTCATGCCATTTTCGCTTCGCTTCCTCCCTTTTCCAGCAGAACAATCTCTCTGCCATGTCTCCCCCAGGCTCTTAGAAGCAAACAGACATCTGACAGCAGAGGGTGGGGCAATCCTACTGCAGCGAGGAGCAACTGAGACACCCGCTGGTAAGGGGCTGCGTGGAGACAGGGCTCATCACAGTGCTGGGCCAACACTGGGTGTGGGAAGGGAGCGGAGCCAACAGCCATTGTCTTCCACCGGGTACAGGGTGCCCTAGCTGCAAGTTTCCACAGCCTGAATGGAATCAAGGAAGTCTAGAGGCAGAGCTCTCCATTCCCAGCAACTGGGGTTGGTTCTCAAGTCCTAGAACAGCTAAAGAAAATATATCAAAAAAAGGAATTAATCCTATTCCTCCTGTCTCAAAAAGTCTTGGGCGGACCCCAGAGGAGAGAAGAAACAGAGCAACTCCTGCTCCTGTGAGACACAAAAACCTCCTCTTGTTTTTTTTTTTTTCGTTCCAGGGCTGGTGTATAACAGAGACATGAGAGTCCATACGGTGAGCATTGCTCTTCTGACGTGCCCCCTACTGCTTCTGAGCCCTGAGCTTATGGAAAACTCAGAGATAGTGGAGGCCCACTCACTGAGCCCAGGCCCTGCCTCCACCCAGCCGTTCACTTTCTGCTTCCCTAATTCCCACATCTCTTTTAAATGCTGCTGTTAAAAGATCCTGCACTCGATCATTAACTGACTCAGCTTACAGAATCACTGGAAAATGTTACTGATTTTTTTTTAGCAGTTCGTCTGCCCCAGGGCCCCCTGGCCACATTTTCCTGCCATTATAACTCTTCAGGCATCAGATGGATGGATGCTTTCGGTCAGCTTCTTTGTCAGGTCACCTGCATAAGAAGGGAAGAGAGAGTGAAGCAAAGTCCTTATGTTTGATATTTTGATAGCTTTGTGTCACTTCTGAGCAAGTAGGGCCTCCTCTACCTGTGCTACTGCCAGGGTATGAAAGCCAGAGTAGTGTACTGTCTCCTTTTCAGTAAAAGGATTTTTAAAGCTTTTCTCTGCTATGAGATCATTCCCATATGTGCTGCATCCCAGCAGGCAGCATTGTTGGCAGCCCTGAAACACAGCTGGACAGAAGGAGCCTTTGCAGAGCCAGCTACTCTTGTGCGCAGCCTGGCCGCCCGTCGTGTCCCAGCATGGCAGCTTCGGGCCCGCAGCCCCTTTTGCCTTCACACACGCTCGTGCACAGGGGGG